CTCTTTGCTCTCTTCTCTCTCTCTCTCTCTCTCTTCTCTCTCCTCTCTCTCTCTCTCTCTCTCTCTCTCTCTCTCTCTCTCTCTCTCTCTCTGCTCCTCACTCTCTTCCCTTCTTCTCTCTCCCTCTTCCTGTCTGCCTTTCACTCTCCCTCTGTCCCTTCTCTCCCTCTCCCCTCCCTTTCTTCCCTCTTCCCTCCCTCCCTTCCCTCTCCCCTCTCCTTCTCCTTCCCCTTCTCCTTTCTGTAATGATTATTTAATAAGTATGTAATGATAATGTACTGATGATGTAGTAGTGATGCTATGATAACTTTCCATACATCTTGCAGGAGCAATGTCGAGCTTTGGAGACTGAAAAAGCTCAGAGTCACTTGGACATTAGAAAGGTGAGTATTAATATAAGGAGAGAGAGAGAGAGAGAGAGAGAGAGAGAGAGAGAGAGAGAGAGAGAGAGAGGAGAGAGAGAGAGAGAGAGAGGAGAGAGAGAGAGAGAAGAGAGAGAAGAGAGAGAGAGAGAGAGAGAGAGAGAGAGAGAGAGAGAGAGAGAGAGAGAGAGAGCGAGAGAAGAGAGAGAGAGAGAGAGAGAGAGAGAGAGAAGAGAGAGAGAGAGAGAGAGAGAGAGAAGAGGAGAGAGAGAGAGAGAGAGAGAAGAAAACAGATGAGGGAAGAGAGTTTATTAATGATAACATGTATAATTTCCAAATGAGAGAATAGAGATAATTAAATAAAATGAATAAATAGAGATACTGAAATATAGTAAACAAATAGAGATAATCAAACAAATTGAATTAACTGAATTAATAGAGATAATTGAATATATTGAATATATAGAGATAATTAAACAAATTGAATAAATGGAGATGATTAAACAAATTGAATGAATAGAGATAATTAAATAAACAAGATAATAAAGATGATTTCCCCATTCTCTCATGGCAGATTATGGAAGCGGAGGAGAAACTCAAGCAACAAGTGTCGTCTCTGAGTCAGAGAGAAAAGGAATATGCAAGTTTGATGGAAGAACTGAAGTCGCTTCAAGAGAAATACGAGGAGAGAGAAAATGTTTTGAGGATTGCGAATGAGAGGGTGGGGCAGGTAAGGCTGAATAAGAGAGATGGAGAGGAAAAGGGAGAGAGAGAGGAAGGGGGAAAGAGAGAGAAGGAAATGAAAAAGAATAGAGAGAAAGGGAAAGAAAGAGGGAGAAGGAGAGGAAGAAGGAGAGAGAGGCAGAGAAAAAAAGAGAGAGAGAGAGATAGAGAGGAAGAGGGAGAGAAGGAAAGGAAGAAGGAAAGAGAGGGAGAGAGAGAGAAGGAAAGGAAGAAGGAAAGAGAGAAAAGGAAAGAAGGAGAGAGAGGAAGAGAAAAAGGGAGAGAGAGAGAGAGAGAGAGAAGAAAAGGGAGAGAGAGAGGAAGAAGATGACAGAGAGGAAGAGGGAGAGGAAAAGGACTAGGAAGTACAAGAAGGATAGTGAGAGGGGAAAGAGAGGAAAGAGAAGAGAGGGAGAGGGAAAGAGAGAGAGAGAGAGAGGAGAAGAAGAGAGGAAGAAGAGAGAGGAAGAGGGAGAGAGAGAGAGAGGAAGAGGGTGAGGGAGAGAGAGAGAGAGGAGGAAGAGAAAGAGAGAAGTGAGAGAGAGAGAGAGTGAGGAAGAGAGGGAGAGAGGAAGAATGAGAGAGAGAGGTAGAGGAAAAGAAAGAGGGAGAGAGATAGGAAAAGGGAGAGAGAGAGAGAGAGATGGAAAGGAAAGCAGAGAGAGGAGAGAGAGGGAGAGGGAGAGAGAGAGGGAGGAGAGGAAGAGAGAGAGGGAGAAGGCGAGGAAGAGGGATAGAGAGAGAGAGAGAGAGAGGGAGAGAGTACAAGAGAGAGAGAGAGGGGAGAAAGAGAGAGAGAGAGGGGGGAGAGGAAGGGAGAGAGTTTTCAGTTTTGATAATGAGATTGTTACAGTTATTTTTTTTTTTTTTTATAGTCCGAAGTAAGAAATGATGTAATAAAATGAAAAAGATATTAATGATTTAGATACGTATATATAAATCTTTAGGTACAGTTACATAGTAATATAAGATTATAGTATTACTAATTCATTTATCGTTTGAGTGTATTTTCACTTTTATTTTGTATTATTATAAATTTATTGAATTTACTTACAGCTAGAAAATAGCGAGAAAAGAGTCACAGAATAAATTAAGTACGGGCAGTTATGATGGTAGGTTGCCAGTTTATCTTTTTTTTTTTTATCATGAATATTATTACCCTTCTCATTATTTATTGTATTACTATAATTATTATCATTGTTATTGTTATTGTTGCTGTTTAATATTATTAATAATATTATCATTTAATATTATCATTTTTATTTTTAATGTGATGATTATGATTATTGTCAAATATTAATATGGTATATTATTATTGTGTTATTATTAATTGTTACTTTATTATTCAGCTTAAGAGTTTTTGTTGTTTGATAATATTTTTTTGTATACATGATAGTAATGTGATTTTTTCCCTCATTCTAAACCACAATCAATCACACATATACCTGACACTTGTGCATATCTAACCATATATACTTTATATATATACATATAAACACACACATACCTGCATCTGCATTGTACTGCAATCGCACAGTCACACACTCCACCTAATTTCGCTTCCACGGGCTCACACCACACAGTGCAGCGCACCTGGCACACATACACCGCACACGCACCAGCTCTCACGATCGTGAGAAGATACACCATTCTGAATACGCTGCACACGGTTTATGCACACATACTCCGTTCGTCGACCTCGGATCACATTCCGCAGACCTACGGCAGACACAAGCACAAACACAACCGCCGAATTGCAAGGCTTCAATCATCACTAACACACAGACAAGATCGTCCGACCACACGACTAACGACAAACACACACACACTGCAGGACACACACCAGCCAACACATGGCTGAAAATCACACACCGACGTTGGACACACCGATAAGATTCGTACACACATATGGCATATACTTGCACACACACGAAGTACACAGTCGGGTTGTTTTTATGGTTATATCCATTTGTATCACCGTTGCGTACAAGTCAACGACCATCGCATCGCATTACAGTTATACACAACATCACACACAGTGTACCGCCGATACACACACACACAAGACACACAACAAAACAGTAGAATCAACATACAGTCCAGACACAACCCACGCAGACCATAAGTACACACGTCTCTCGACTTAAACACATAGAGGTACCTCTTTAATATCACACATCAGGTAATGTACGAATGACGGCTGCGGCTCACAAACACCACACCACACACACAACACAACACACAGGCCGCACCACACACACACAACCACACTATACACACATGCTAGAACAGGCGGCTCGTTTCATCACCTCACACACACACACAACAACAACAACATCTCACATATACGACTAGTAGCAAACTTCACACATCGAGTTTAATAACACACCAACATCTTGTGTCGTACACATGTAGTTAGCACTACAATCCGTCTACACACATCACACACACACACAGTTTAGTCTTGTTCCACAATAACCCCCTCAACAATCAAATGTTACACACATCCCCCGCCTCCTTGCCCCCACAGGCCTCAAAACTGAAAAGCCTCCATATGGAGTAAGCGCAGAATGTGACCAGTTGAAGAAAGAAGTAATAAGCGGAAGAGAAGAAATGGGAAAATGATGAAAGAGCTGGAGAGGAAAGAGAGAGCAGAAAAACAGGAGGTAAGAGGAGAGAGACGAGAGGGGAGAGAGAAGGGAGAGAGAGAGAGAGAGAGATTCCTTTAATGCCATCTTTATCAGTGGCTTCTTTTATTCCTATATTTATCCCATTCTTTATTCCCATCTTTATCCATTACGCCTGTTATCGTTTGTTGCTTCCACCCATCTTCGCCTGTCCCTTTGAGTTCTGCCCTTATTCCCTTTATTATCTGTTACTTCCTCTATTCCTATTTTCATTTGCTAATTCACCAATTCCCCTATTCCAATCTTCATTCTTTTGAATTGTTCATTCCCATCTTCATTTGCTAATTCATTCTTCCCCTCTTCCCTTCCGTCTCTTATTCCGCATCTTCATCCTTTTCCCTTCTTACCATATTTAATCACCTCCCATTCCTTCTTCCATCTTCATCCATTCCCTTCCTTCTTCCCATATTTATCCTCTATTCCTCTTCTCCGCATCTTCATCCTTTCTACCCTTCTTCCATCTTCATCCTTTGCTTCCTTCTTCCCATTTTTATCACTCTATTCTTCTTACCTCACCTTCATCCTTTGCTTCCCTTCTTCCCAATATTTATCACTCTATTCCTTCTTTCCCACCTTCATCCTTTGCCTTCCTTTTTTCCCATATTTATTCCCTCCATTCTTACTTTCCCACTTCAATCCCTTTCTTCTCTTCTTCCCATGTTTATCTACCTCCATTGCCTTCTTCCCATCGCTTCTCCTTGCTTCCCCTTCTTTTCCCATCATTTATCAACGGGTCCATCTCTTCTTTATTCCATTTTATATCAACCTCCCCGCTCCATTCCTCCTATCTTCCATTTTTCACCCTCCATGTCCTGTCTGTTTCCCATCTTCATCCTTTGCTTGCTTTTTTCCTATATTTATCAACTCTATTTCTTCTTCCCACCTTCATCCTTAGCTCCCTTCTTCCCATCTTCATCTGCTAATTCCCCCCTTTCCACTTCCAGGCTTGGCGACATAGAAGCCGAGGCTCTCACGGAAAGCCGAGAGTCTCGAATCTCGGCCCTCGAGGACGACCCGGAAATGAGGCTAGAGGAGGTACTCAAGGAGAAGGAAGGGAGGATGAGGAGGTAGGTAGAGGAGGAGGAGAGGGAGGAGATGGGCAGAGGGAGAAAGAGAGAAGAAGACGGAAGAGGGAGAGGAGGTCAACGGGTGGAAGAGGGAGGTGAAGATGTGTCATATATAGTACTATTGATTTGTTTTTTAAGATAATAGAGAGAGAGAGAAGAGA